CCATTCCACACCCACTAGGATGGCTATCAAAAAACAAAACTACAGAAAAAACAAGTATGGATGAGGATGTGGAGAAATCAGAACTCAACACATTCATTGCTAATGAGAAAGTAGATTGGTGTAGCTGCTTTAGAAAACAGCTTCCAGTTCCTCAAATTGTTAAACAGAGTTGTCATATGACCTATCAATTCCAGTATCCAAGATAACGTATATTCACATAAAAAAATCATTCATGAATGTTTATAGCAGCATTAGTCATAGTGGTCAAAAGGTGGCAACAATACAGATGTCTATCAACTGATGAATAGATAAACAAAATGTGATTTTGTGTATAATGGAATACTATTTGGCCACAAGAAAGAATGAAGTAGTGATATATGGTACAACATAGTTGAACCTCAAAAACATTGTGCTAAGTGAAAGAAGCCAGTCACAAGATATTATATGTGATTCCATTTATGTGAAATATCCAGAATAACCAAATCTATAGTGTTAGGAAGTAGAATAGTAGTAGCATAGAGCAGGGGGAATGGGGAGATAGGAGGATATAGCTAAAGGGTAACAGTGTATCCTTCTGAGGTTTTGAAAATGTTCCAAAACTGATATTGTACTTATCTGTGAATATACTAGAAACTGTTAAATTATACAATCTAAATGGTCAAATCGTGTATTATCTCAGGAAAGATGTTAATAAAAATAATGCTGCTATGTTGACTAGCTTAACTAATGAGTACAGGTTTAAATTTCTAAATTTATTTTTTTTAAGATTTATTTATTTGAGAGAGAAAAGGAGTGGAGTGGGGAGGAGCAGAGACAGACAAGAGAGAATCTCAAGCAGGCTCTCGCTGAGCACACTCCCACTGAGTGGGGAGCCCAGTGCAAGGCTTGATTCCAGGACCCTGAGTTCATGACTTTAGCCTAAACCAAGAGTCAGCTGATTAAACTGCTGAGCCACCCAGGCGCCCCCAGGTTTAGGTTTCTTTGCAGTTCAGCTTATCCTGAGAGTATATTCCACTGAAGATGTACAGTAAAAGTACTGTAATTTAAAAGTCATTTGAAATAATTCTTTTTTCCTGCATGGTTATATTACCAACTTGATATTTAGTTATTGGATTCTCTGATTTTTCCTGTAGTAAAAAACAACTCTAAGAGTTGTGGCTTACAACAGTAAGTGTTTATTTCTTGCTCGTATTCTGTGAGTTTGCTGTAGTGACTCCAGGTTCTAGGTTGGTTTGCCTGTGTGTCTTCTCATTCTGGGACTCACACTGAACTCACAGCTTCTATATGGCAAATGCTGGCCTCATGGTAGAGGACAGGCATACGAAAGAGGAATACCTCTTTAGGCAGGCGCTAAACCGCTGAGCCACCCAGGGATTCCCTATCATTCATTTTTAGCAATTATTGGGTAGGTTATTGTTAATCTTACTGATTTGTATGCCACTCACTTGCACTGTTATGGTAGTTTATTTTTTTTTATTTTTATTTTTTTTAGTTATGGTAGTTTATTTTTTTATTTTATTTATTTATGATAGTCACAGAGAGAGAGAGAGAGAGAGAGAGAGAGAGAGAGAGAGGCAGAGACACAGGCAGAAGCAGGCTCCATGCACCGGGAGCCTGACGTGGGATTCGATCCCGGGTCTCCAGGATCGCGCCCTGGGCCAAAGGCAGGCGCCAAACCGCTGCGCCACCCAGGGATCCCTAGTTATGGTAGTTTAAATATATATTTAAATATTTGCTTAGGATACTCTTAAGGGCAGGTTTGTGTTGTAATGGGATGATCTGCTCGACTAGGAAGAGTCGAGGAAAGATAAACTAACTACAGGAATGAAATTCTTTAGACGGGAAGAGGTTATGTGGGCCACACACCTATGGAAAAGGATTGGCCTTCATGTTTTGTTTTGTTTTTTTTTAAAGATTTTATTTATTCATGAGAGACACAGAGAGAGAGGCAGAGGGAGAAGCAGGCTCCATGTGGGGAGCTCAACGTGGGACTCGATCCCCGGTCTCCAGGATCACACCCTGGACTGAAGGTGGTGCTAAACCGCTGAGCCACCCGGGCTGCCCCAGGATTGGCCTTTAATAGAGCCAGAGGCACATCACACTTTCTGGAAAGACAGTGGCAGATAGGGTGCATTTGATTTATAAGTAGGAAGATGATGTTTCTCTCTGCTTCTTCCTTTTTTTTTTTTTTTAGGTGGAATATGAGATAAAGTTGTCAGTTGAAAAATGAGGGGTGGGCTAAAAGGATATTGCAGATTTGAGGGCGCAAGAAGAGTAAAATAATTAAAGAGTAAAATAATTGTTATGGAGAGTGAGATGAACATCCTAAGGAAGTGTGGTATGGTTGGTAGGCAGTCCTGTCTACTTGAGATTTGTGGTCTCTAATTGAGAGAGAAACCAAAGAGCTTATAGTGTTTCTCTCCACCAGTATGTATGTATGTATGTATGTATGTATGTATGTATGTATGTATAAGATTTTATTTATTTATGAGAGACACAGAGAGAGATGCAGAGACATAGGCAGAGGGAAAAGCAGGCTCCCTGTGGGGAGCCTGATGCAGGACTTGATCCCAAGACCTTGGGATCACGACCTGAGCCAAAGGCAGATGCTCAACCACTGAACCACCCAGTTGCCCCTCTCCACCAGTATTTAGAGGAAGTGCAGATGTGAAGTTAGCGAACAGTTGGGTTTAAACTGGGTTGGGTTTGGGGATCTATGGGTAGTTTAGCAGTTTAGCGCCTGCCTTTGGCCCAGGAATCGAGTCCCTCATCAGGCTCCCTGCATGGAGCCTGCTTCTCCTTCTGCCTGTGTCTCTGCCTCTATCTCTCTGTGTCTCTTATGAATGAATAAATAAAATCTTAAAAAAAAATAAACTGGGTTGGGTTTTTGCAGGGCAAGTATATCTGAGGGAAGCAGCGGCAAAGGACTGGGAAGCTGAGTAAGGAAGGAAGTGAGGACGTGTGTGGGGTGAGGGATAGAAGGGTGGAGAAGTAGTGAAAATGTGGGGGACCAAAGAGAGTCAGTAAGAGAGAACAGAAACCAGGGCAGTTCTGGAGATTTAGATATTAGTTCACCACTGAGGGGGTGAGTCAGCTTCAAATCTTGTTTTTTCATCTCTACTACTAAGATTCAGATTCTTGGTGGAGAGAACAATTAGCCAAGTGCTTACCCTTTAACCAGGAAAAGGAAGGGAGGGCATTAATTAGGGGCATCTGCCTGCTTGAGAAATTTAGTAGGTATGATCTGAAGTTTGCCCATAAAATTTTTTTAATCTTGCTATATTTCTGTATTATATAAAGGAGATGCTACTTGGCTAGTTTGTATAACGTCATATGGAATACTTATGTGCTTTGAAAACAAAGCATTATGAAACTGTTAAGTAGGGGCACCTGGGTGGCTCAGTGGTTGAGCTTCTGCCTTTGGCTCAGGTTGTGATCCCAGAGTCCTGGGATTGAGTCCTGCATCGGGCTCCCCCCGGGGAGCCTGCTTCTCCTGCTGCCTATATATCTGCTTCTCTCTCTGTATCTCTCATGAATACATAAATAAAATGTTAAAAAAAAAAAAAAGGAAACTGATAAGTAGTGCAGTTAAGCCAAGATGGTGATAATTAAACTCTCTGTGATTACAACTGCCAGTGAATGTATTAAACAATTTGAAGATTTTGTTTAAGCTTAAAACTAGAACTATAAAGTTCAAAGCAAATTTATTCATGAGAGGCAGAGAAAAAGAGAGAGAGAGAGAGAGAGGCAGAGAAACAGGCAGAGAGAGAAGCAGGCTCCATGCAGGGAGCCCGACGTGGGACTCGATCCGGGACTCCAGAATTATGCCTTGGGCTGAAGGCAGGCGCTAAACTGTGGAGCCCCCCAGGGATCCCCCTTAAAAAGTTTTTATGGGCTTATTGCAAATCATTGTATTAACTCTTCAGTGGGAGTGCAAAGCTGTAGAGACTAATGTCATAGCTAGACTTTTTTTTAAGATTTTATTTATTCATGAGACACACACACACACACACACACACACAGAGAGAGAGAGGCAGAGAGGCAGAGACACAGGCAGAGGGAGAAGCAGGCTCCATGCCAGAAGCCTGACGTGGGACTCGATCCCAGGTCTCCAGGATCACACCCTGGGCTGAAGCGGCGCTAAACCTCTGCCCTAGACTTTCTAGGGGCTGCCCTAGACTTTCTTCTTGGAGTGGTAATTGTTCTTTATCAATTCCTGATACTTGAGTTAGTTGTAGGCTGCCAGCCGAAATGTAGCCATATCAGAAAGTAAAGGAAAAACCTAATGTTGCAGGCAAAGGAGTATTGCAGATGTATGTTTTTGAAGTAAAGTTTAGAAGTAATATTTTCAAGCTCCAAAGTTTTTAAGATAGGCAAATATTGCTTCTAACAATGGAAAAAACTATAATCTTGTACGAATTAAATTATAGTGATGGGGATGCCTGGGTGGCTCAGCGGTTGAGCGTCTGCCTTTGACTCAAGGCGTGATCCCTGGGTCCTGGGACCAAGTCCCACATTGGGCTCCTTGCATGGAGCCTGCTTCTCCCTCTGCCTGTGTGCCTCTCTCTCTCTCTCTCTCTCTCTCTCTCTCTCTCTCTGTCATGAATAAATAAATAAAATTTTCAAAAAAATCTTAAATAAATAATAGAATCTTGAATGAATGAATATGATATGGGGTTGATGATTGGAGAGGATAAAAGAATTTAGGTCTCTGGTTTTGCTATTCATGTTAGCATAGTAGAATTTTGTTATATATCATTGGTATCATAATGCATAAGAACAGCCTATAATAGATAGTCAATAATTGCTTTGTTATAGGATATGTGATTTACCATATAATATTTCTGCATCAATTTGATGAGAATTTAATAATGAGTGATTTTATAGTAGGATTCTATTGCTTTTTGTCTCTTGCTCTTTTTTTGATAATTATACTTACCTTTATCAACTTTTCAATATGATATGAGAATATTATTAAAAGTGGCTTTTTTCCCCCTTAGGACCAGCCACCTTATTCTAACTACAATTCTAATTATTGGAATTCTCCTGCACGACATAGAGCTCCATACCCAAGTACATATCCTGTAAGACCGGAAATGCAAGGCCAGGTATGAACTAAAATTGACAGACTTCCTGAAATTTTTTAAAAAGATTTTATTTATATATTTTAAAGAGAGAGAGAGAGGTGTGTGTCACGTGGGGGGAGAAACAGAGGGAGAGGGAGGGAGAAAGAATCTCAAGCAGATTACAGGCTGAGCTCAGAGCCTGACCTGGGGGCTGATCTCAGGATCCTGAGATTATGACCTGAGCCAAAACCAAGAGTTGGATGTTCCACCAACAAGCGACCTAGGTTTTTTTTCTTAATGTATTGTTTTTTTCAAAACCCGCGGAGATTTCATTTCAGTGTGTGGCGTTTTGTTATTTATCGGATTCTATCCTAATGTTTTTGGCTCAGAAGTAAAGAAATATCTAGGCAAATATCTATACAAGATACCTTAAGGCATAATATATTACTTCTTAGGACCTGGAAACAAAAAACAAAATGACTTAGTGTTTTATTTTTATTTTTTTTTAAGATTTTTTTTTTTAATTCATTCATGAGAGACACAGAGAGAGAGGCAGAGACACAGGCAGAGGGAGAAGCAGGCTCCATGCGGGGAGCCCGATGCGGGACTTGATCCCAGGACTTCAGGATCACGCCCTGGGCCCAAGGCAGGAGCTCAACCACTGAGCCACCCAGGCATCCCGTGTACTTAGTTTTTTAAGTTGGACTTTTTTTTTTTTTAAATATAATTGACATGTAACATTATATTAGTTTCAGGTATATAATGTAATGATTTGCTATTTGTGTATGGTGTGAAATGATCACCACAATTAGGTCTAGTTAATGTCTGTCACCACATATAATTACAATTTTTTCTTCTGATGAGAACTTTTACAATTTATTCTGTTAGCAACTTTCAAGTATGCAGTATGGTATTAACTATAGTCATCATGCTGTCTATAACATCCTCATGACTTATTTTATAGCTGGAAGTTTGTACCTTTGACCCTCCATTCACCCATTTGTACCTCTGGTCCCACTTCTAGTAATCATCAGTCTGTTCTCTGAATGTAAAATTTTTTTTTCTAAGATTCCACATATGAGTGAAATCATAGGATATTTGTCTTTTTCTTTCTTTTTTAAAGATTTTAATTACTTTATTTGAAAGAAAGAGAGCACATAAGTAGGGGGAGTAGCAGAGGGAGAGGGAAAAGCAGCTTCCTCACTTCTCACTAGGACCTAAGGATCATGACCTGAGCCGAAGGCAGATGCACAACTGACTGAGCCACCCGGGCGCCCTGATATTTGTCTTTCTCTGACTTACTTTGATCCTTGTTGTTGGAAGAGGCAAGATTTCCTTTTTTATAGCCAAATAATAGTAAATTGTTTATATATACACAGTTTCTTTATTCATCCATCAATAGATACTTAGGTTGCTGTTATAAATAATGCTGCAATTGGGGATCCCTGGGTGGCTCAGCAGTTTAGTGCCTGCCTTCGGCCCAGGGCATGGTCCTGGAGTCCTGGGATTGAGTCCCACATCAGGCTCCCTGGATGGGGTCTGCTTTTCCCTCTGCCTGTGTCTCTGCCCCCGCCCCTCTCTCTCATGAATAAATAAAATCTTAAAAAAAAATAATAATGCTGCAGTGAACATGGGGATGCAGGTATCTTTTCAAGTTAGTGTTTTTGTTTCCTTTGGATATGTTATAAGTAGTAGCTTTGCTGGTCATTCTATTGTTAACTTTTTTTTTTTTTTAAGATTTTATTTATTTATTCAGGAGAGACAGAGAGAGGGGCAGAGACACAGGCAGAGGGAGAAGCAGGCCCCATGCAGGGAGCTCAACGTGGGACTTGATCCCAGGTCTCCAGGATCAGACCCTGGGCTGAAGGCAGTGCTAAACCGCTGGGCCACTGGGCCTGCCCTATTTTTAACTTTTTGAGGAATCTCCAAACTCTTTTCTTTCCATAGTGACTGTACCAATTTACATTCCGACTAGCAGTGCTCAAGGGTTCCCTTTTCTCCACATCCTCATCAACACTTGTTATTTCTTTTCTTTTTAATAGTAACCATTTTAACGAGCGTGGGGTGATATCTCATTGTGGTTTGGTTTGCATTTCCCTGATGATGAGTGATGTTGAAGCACCTTTTCAGGTGCCTGTTGGCCATCTGGATGTCTTCTATGGAAAAGTGTTTAGGTCATTTGCTATATTCTAATAGGATTGTTTGTTTGTTTTTTTTTTTTTTTGGTATTGAGTTTTATGAGTTCTTTATATATTTTAGATATTAACTTATTATCAAATATCTGATTTGAAAATATTTTCTTCTATTTAGTACGTTGCCTTTTCATTCTGTTGGTGGTTTCCTTTGCTGTGCAGAAGCTTTTTAGTTTGATGTAGTTCCTACTTGTTATTTTTACTTTTGTTACTTTTTCTTTTGGTGTCAAAAAATTGTACTCTTAGGACAAATATTTAATTTTAAATATTTCAAGCATACTGAAAAAGAACAGAAAATGTGTACATCTTTTCATCCAGCAGTTTGCCGCATTTGGAAAAAGAATTTCAGATTTTTTTTTAAGATTTTTTATTTATTTATTCATGAGAGACAGAGAGAGAGAGGAAGAGAGAGAGAGGCAGAGACACGGGCAGAGGGAGGAGCAGGGTCCATGCAGGGTGCCTAATGTGAGACTCGATCCCAGGTCTCCAGAATCACGCCTTGGACTGAAGGCGGTGCTAAACCGCTGAGTCGTCCAGGCTGCCTTTGTTTCAGAATTTTAAAAAGAAGTAAAACAAATAGAGTTGAAGTCACATAAAACACTTCTTTCTATTTCCTGAGGTTATATTTATTATCTCATACGTGTTTTTATGCTGTATTACTAATATGTGCGTTTACATAGTATTATTTACCATGTTTTTAAACTTGATGTGAGTAGTTCCATACTAGCATTCTCCTGCAGCTTGCTTTTTTACTTGACATTGTTTTCACTTTTTTGTTGTACACATTTGAGGCAAGAACTTCTCTAGGGTTTGGTATTTTGGGGTTTTGGTGTGTATGCTTATTAAGAATAGCCAAATTACTTGTCACAGTGGTTGTATCATCATGGAAATGAGGAAATGTTTATAGTTAGTCACCCATCATCTGGCCACCTTAGTAAAGCAATAATTGTCACATTTTTATATTTCCTTCCACTTTTTTTCCTGTCTATATGCCATATTTCTATATGCAAATATGCAAATAATTTTTATTTTTAAATTTTTAAAAAGATTTTATTTTTAAGTAATCTCTCCACCCAATGTGGGGCTCAAACTCAAAACCCCAAGATCAAGAATTGCACACTCAGCTGAGCTAGCTAGGTGCCACTGAAAATAAACTTTTTTAAAAAAGATTTTATTTTTTTATTCATGACAGACACAGAGAGAGAGGCAGAGACATAGGCAGAGGGAGAAGCAGGCTTGCCGCTGAGCAGGAGCCCAATGTGGGACTCCATCCTAGGTCTCTGGGATCATGACCTGAGCCAAAGGCAGACGCTCAACTGCTGAGCCACCAAGGTGCCCTTTGAAAATAATTTTTAAAAACATGATGTAGTACATACAATTTTTTAAAAGTAATCTCTACACTCAATGTGGGGCTGGAACTTATAATCCCAAGATCAAGAGTCATACACTCCACCTACTGAGCCAGCCAGGTGCTTCTGTAGTATATACAGTTTGTTTGTTTGTTTATTTATTTAATATTTTATTTACTTATTCATGATAGAGACACAGGCAGAGGGAGAGGGAGGAGTAGGCTCCATGCAGGGAGTCTGACATGGGACTCGATCCTGGGACTCCAGGATCACGCCCTGGGCCGAAGGCAGGAGCTTAAACCACTGAGCCACCCAGGCTGCCCAGTATATACAGTTTTAAAGCAGCTGCATTTAAGCAGCTTTCAAAGAATCTGAATTTTAGACCCAGGTCAGAATTCTCTGTAAACTGATGTTCTCTGCAGAATTAAATTTTCAGATCACCATAAAGCATACTAATGTAATTCTCCTGATAGTTTTCAAATGTCAAATACTATGTTCAATTCTGTTCTAATTTTCTGTTGGTGTAGGGGCTGAAATAATAAAAATAAGTTTCTTTATGGGGCTGAATAATTAGTTCATTACCAAAAAATCATTTCCCTTTTTTCTCATTAATTTGGTGATACATGCCTTTAAGATTGATTTTTTTTTAAAGATTTTATTTATTTATTCATGAGAGACACAGAGAGCCACCCAGGCCCTCTTGAATAGCTTGTAGTTTTTTTTTTTTTAATTTTTTAAAAAAGATTTTATTTATTCCTGAGAGACACAGAGAGGCAGAGACATAGGCAGAGGGAGAAGCAGGCTTCTCTCAGGGAGCCTGATGTGGGACTTGATCCTGGAACTCTGGAATCAAAACCAGAGCTGAAGGCAGACGCTCAACCACTGAGCCACTCAGGTGTCCCTTAAGATTGATTTTGAGCTAGAAAAGCCTATTAAAGTTTTTTTTTTTTTTTAAGATTTTATTTATTTATTCATGAGAGAGAGAGAGAGGGGCAGAGGCACAGGCAGAGGGAGGAGAAACAGGCTCCATGCCGGGAGCCCAAAACAGGACTCAATCCCAGGTCTCCCAGATCATGCCCTGAGTCAAAGGCAGATGCTCAACTGCTGAACCACCCAGGCGTCCCCCTATTAAAGTTTAGAGCAAGATTTATGTACTTAAAAAAAACATAAAAGCAATTGATTTTTCTTAATGATTATGTGTATGTGAACTTTAGGATAAGGTTGATAGGAGATTGTGGGATACAAAATAAAAAAACATTGTATTTGTGTCATCTGCATTCCTATGACTGAACTTGAGAAGAAGGCATTGTTATTGCTTAATGTGATATGCATGTAATTTAGCCATATTTCATAAAATTCACCCTGAAATGTACACAATTAATCTGTTTTTAGTTTATTCACAAGGTTGTGCATCTGTCCTCATTGTCTATTCCAGACATTTCCATCATCCCAAACATTCATCATCCCAGTTAAAAACAATGTACCTATCTCCCCATTCTTCTCTCCCCTTAGCCCCTGGCAAACTTTAATATATTTGTTATTTCTATGGATTTGCCTATTCTAGACATGTCATATTAACAGAATCATATATTTGATCTCTTGTGACTGGCTTCTTTCTTTTAGCATATGTTGATCCATGTTGTGGCAATGTACTGCTACTTTGTTTCTTTCTGTGGCCAAATACTGTCCATTCTATGGATATAACACATTTTATCCATTCATCATCGGTTGATAGAAATACGAGGTTTTTTTCACTTTTTGGCTGTTATGAATAATGCTGTTAAAAACATTTGTGTGCTTATTTTTATGTGGACATATGTTTTTTCAGTTCTCTTGATTATATATGTAGGAGTGGAGATGCTGGTCATATGGTAGCTCTGCTGTGTTTAACAGTTTGAAGAACTGGCGGGTTTCTAAGAAAACTGAAGTCCTTTGATAACATTCTGAATTGAGAAACCATGATACAAAAAGACATTGGTTAGAACCTGTAACACTTTTTCATTCAATTTGAAGAGGAATTGGGTTGTAAAAAATAGCCTATTAAGAACTGTGGTCAGGGCAGCCCAGGGGGGGGCTCAGTGGTTTAGCGCTGCCTTCAGCCCAGGGCATGATCCTGGAGACCCGGGATCGAGTCCCACATCAGGCTCCCTGCATGGAGCCTGCTTCTCCCTCAGCCTGTGTCTTTGCCCCCCCACCCTAAATAAATAAATAAATAAATAAATAAATAAATAAATAAATAAATAAATAAATAAATCTATCTTTAAAAAAAAAGAACGTGGGCTTTGGGGTCAGATCTGGTTTCACTTCTTGATCTTGCCATAATAATGACAACAGTGATATTATAAATTATTATCATTTATTGAGCATACTAGGGCCAGACACTATGCTATGGATTTATATATATATATATCATCTCATTTAATTTTCATGGTAATCCTACAAGGTAAGTTTATGATTTCCAATTTTATTGAAGAAACTAAAGCTCAGAGAGGTCAAACACAAAGACAGAGCTAGGTCTATCTCTTTAGTCTTCTCTTCTCTCAGTTGTACCATATTTATTCTTTGTCTAGCCCTTCCCACCAGTTTCCTAGAACCCCTTACAGGGAGTGGGCACAAGTTCTCTGCTGTTAGGTGGAATTGTTAGGTATACTTATGGAAGTGTTTGAGAAGCACTGCTCTGAGGTCATCACTTCATCATGCATTACAGCATACTCTCATTGTTACAACACAGACTCTACAGTGATAATCTGTATTTAATATGTGGTCATAATATGTGAGAGAAAGAATGCTTCAGAGATTGCTTAGGGAGTTCATATTTTCATTAGTTACTGATCTTTTTCCTTACCAAAGTTTTCAAAGTTTAGTACTAAGCCAGGGCATTTCAGTTCTTCTATTCAGTCATCTTTCTTTTTTTTTTTTCTCTCAACTTTGCTTTTTTACAGAGTTTGAATTCTTATACGAATGGAGCATATGGCCCACCATACCCCACTGGCCCTGGGGCAAATACTGCCTCATACTCTGGGGCTTATTACACACCTGGATATACTCAGAGCAATTACTCCCCAGAGGTTCCAAGCACTTACCGTTCACCTGGCAACAGCCCAGCCCCAGTCTCTCGTTGGCTGTATCCTCAGCAGGATTGTCAGACTGAAGCAGCCCCTCTTAGGGGGCAGGTTTCAGGATATCCTGCTTCACAGGTGAGCGGTTTTCTGGTGGGTTTTTGTATTTTAATATTCTATGAGTGAGGGGTGCCTGGGTGGCTCAGTCGGTTAAGCATCTGGCTCTTGATATCAGCTCAGGTCTTGATTTCAGGGTCATGAGTTCAAGCCTTTCATTGAACTTAAAAAAAAATTCTGCAAGTGATACCATGTTTATTTTTCTGTCCACTTCAAAGGGAGTTCTAATCATCTATATTTGTGTTTCCTTATAGCATATGGATCCACTCATTTATAATATCATGGGACAGACATGCTATGCTTTTGCCATTGAATTTTAAGCTTTTTCCCTCTGAGTTTGTCACTGAATCTGCCCCTCATATCTGTGGAACCAAGCTTTTTATAAGGCTTGGAGAAATAACTATGGCTAATTAGAGATGCTACGGCTTAGCCCAGTAGCCCCTAATGTATACTCTGTTAAGCAGAAAGGAAGCATCTCAGTCTGTTTATATTAGAGTATTTTTGTTACTTTAAGGGTTTTTTTTTTTTTTTAGCAGTGACCAGCATATTTCCTTCCTCTCAATCTAGAACCCTGGAATGGCCCTGCCTCATTATCCTTATGGGGATGGTAATCGTAGTGTTCCACAACCAGGACCAACTGTACGACCACAAGAGGACTCATGGGCTTCTCCTGGTGCTTATGGAATGGGAACCCGTTACCCCTGGCCTTCAGCTGCACCCTCAGCACCACCTGGGAATCTCTACATGAATGACAGTACTTCATCATGGGCCAGCAGCAGCTCCTCTCAGTCACCTCCTTCACCAGCACCCCAGCAGCCCAAGGTAGGATACCTTCTAAACATTCTTCTTGGGATCCCTAGGTGGCGCAGCGGTTGGGCGCCTGCCTTTGGCCCAGGGCGCGATCCTGGAGACCCGGGATCGAATCCCACGTCAGGCTCCCGGTGCATGGAGCCTGCTTCTCCCTCTGCCTATGTCTCTGCCTTTCTCTCTGTGACTATAATAAATAAATAAAAAAAAAAATTATAAAAAAAAAATAAATAAACATTCTTCTTATGATGTTTGGGTAATTGAGAGAGCACAACATGGAAATTTTCTGCATTAGTGTGTGTTAAATGGTGACTAATTGCAAAAAGTTGGTGATTACTGCCAATAGCTTTACCTAACCAGGTTTCTTTTTTCTTTGAATAAACTTTATTTTTTAGAGCAGTTTTAGATTCACATCTTTTTTGGAAAAGACAGATAAATGTTCATTTACTGTTTGTTGTACTACTATCTGAATGTTAAACAAAATCAAAGATTATATTTTATTACCTCCATCTGTAGACCAAAGATGATACCAGTGTGAAATTGTATAAACCCTAGATTTTTTTTAATTTTATTTATTTATTCATGAGAGACACAGAGACCGAGAGAGGCAGAACACAGGCAGAGGGAGAAGCAGGCTCCACACAGGAAGCCTGATATGGGACTCGACCCCGGGTCTCCAGGATCATGCCCTGGGCTAAAGGCGGCACTAAACTGCTGAGCCACCAGGGCTGCCCTAAACCCTAGACTTGAACATCTTTTGCCTGTGGGTGGGTTCCTTTTTCATCTTAAAAAGGTTTTAACTCTTTAGGGGAAAAACTATCTAATTCCTGTTTATTTATTAAGTCACTGTGGAATGTGAGGTGGGAAAGATAGATTATGAGGTGTTCATGATGATGAGCACTTCAGGGTAGATTCCAACCATTATACTCAGGCATTCTCTGCCTTTTACTTGACAGAGCACTTCTTTTATCTTTTTTAGGGCTGTGTTTTTCTCAAATGATTAAGGACGGAAGTCCAGTTTTGTTAGTAGGGAACTTTTCATGTACGTTCGTGGTCAGGTGAAAGATGTAGGCTAACAGATCTGGTATTGATGGATTCCCATTAAAACAGCTCTTTTCCTCTCTTTGCTCTCCCACCCCCAGGACTCCTCATACCCCTATAGCCAGTCCGACCAAGGAATGAACCGGCACAACTTCCCTTGCAATGTCCATCAGTACGAGTCCTCGGGAACAGTGAACAATGATCATTCAGATCTTTTGGATTCCCAAGTCCAATATAGTGCAGAGCCTCAGCTGTATGGTAATGCTACCAACGAACACCCCAGCAGTCAAGATCAGAATGATAATCTTCCTGAAGAGTGTTTATCTTCAGATGAAGGTACTCCCCCAAGTATTAAAAAAATCATACATGTGCTGGAGAAGGTCCAGTATCTCGAGCAAGAAGTAGAAGAGTTCGTAGGGAAAAAGACAGACAAAGCGTACTGGCTTCTGGAAGAAATGCTAACCAAGGAGCTTTTGGAACTGGATTCAGTTGAAACTGGGGGCCAGGACTCTGTCCGGCAGGCCAGGAAAGAGGCTGTTTGTAAAATCCAGGCCATACTGGAAAAGTTGGAAAAAAAAGGATTATGAAGGATTTAGAACAAAGGGGAAGCCTGTTACTAACTTGACCAAAGAACTCTTGATTTTGGTTAATTAGCCCTCTTTTTGAAATGCTTGTTGGTGACGAGAAGCAATACATTCCAACTTTCCTTTGATTAAAACTTGAAAAACTGGTAAAGGACTTGAAAGAACATTTTAGTTATGAATTGTTTTCAGTTTTCAGACCAATGAATGTAATAGGAAGCTGTGGAGTTACCGTTATTGCCAAGTAGACTCACTCCTTAAGAAATTTGTGGATATCTACAAGCTGCTTCTTATCAGCAGGAGGGAAACACGCTTTATGTAACAGGCTTATCAAAAATCGACCAGATGAGACTGGATATAATCTGAGGCAAACAGGCTCTGTTTTTTTAACCATCTGGATTACTTGTCACATTTTTGTACATTGTGACTGCTTTCAACATACACTTCATGTGTAAATTACAGCTTGGACTTTAGCCCTCTCGGACCTCTGTTTTGTTTTGTTATTTGCAGTTCATAAATATAGTATTATTCTCTACTTCTTGGTACGTTTTGTAGTAATATGTTTAATATAATTATTCATGAGACTATATTGACAGCCAGATAGTATGGCAGTTCTGAATGAATTTATATCTTTTCACCACTTGAACATATTGCAATGTGTACTGAGTTCTTGAGGTAGATTGGCCCCTTTTTTGTATAGATCATTAGGGTAGAGTTTTACCACTTCTAGTTTTCATGTTAATACTGGAAGGCGAATTGGGAGATGGCAAAGGCACAGGAATAAATGTTTGTGGCCATTTTCTTTTTTGCTTTTTTATTGTATTTGGATAAAGATCCACCTTAAAATTGCCCTTCCCTACCCCTTAATTATCTTTTCACTACTGTTGCTTCCATGTAGAGCATTATGATAGATACAGATAAAAAAATTAAATGCCACAGTTAGTAGAAGTAACTGCAAAAGTAATAAATGTGACCACTTGGAAATGTACTTCTCTATCTAAAATAATTAGTTTCATCATGGGGATCCCTATGAGCAGATTTCAGCTCAGTTTATAATAAAAAACATGAGGGTAAACAGAATTCATGCTCAGGGAATGAATCAGCCATAGTAAGAGTGGAAAATTTTCTTCTTTTAAAGGTAGATTTGATATTTACCTTTATTTCCCTATGACAAATTGTTTTATTAAAAAAAGATGTTGGTTACCGTTAATAATGGTCATTTCAGAGCAGATTTAAGAAAGGGATATTGAAATGGTCTTAGTTGGGCTTGCTTGGGTAGCTCTTTGCTATGGTGTAGAAGAGACTTAGGTAAATGGTAAATGACTTACTTTTTCTATTGGAAGTGAGTTCTGGTATACAGTATCTGTTATTGGAAAAACAGCTGTTTCTTAATAAGATATCTAAATGATAACTTTTTTCTAGACTATGAGGCCTATAAATAATGATAAATCTGTCAGCCATCTCCTCTCCTTTTTTTTTTTTTTTAAAGTGGGCTCCATGCCCAATGTGGAAGCCTTGTGTGGGGCTTTAACTCCCAACCCTGAGATCAAGAGTTGGCCATCCAACTGACTGAGCCAGGCACCTCCATCTCCTCTCCTTTTAAACAAAACCAAACACATGATGAGAAGAAATGGAGTAAAAATACTGGCTGGGTCTTATGGATGGGATGAGTGATTTTATAAGATAATATGGTGACAATTTTATTCTAGGATTTTCTTTTTTGGCCTAATACAGGAATGTTTAAAAAAAAAAGGCTTCCTATGAAAATTAGAAAATTGTACTTGAAACTAAAAATTTAGAAAGGGGAGAACCTTAAAGCTGACTTAGTGAGACAGTGACTAATTCAGGAGAGAACTCTGCTATTTAACTGAAGACCCAAGATACCAATTTCCACAAAGTCTTGATGTTTATACACACACACACACACACACATTATGCACATATATATGCGTGTATGTTTTTTAGCAGTTTTTTTTAAATTTTGAGATAATTTTAAACCTAAGGAGTTGTAAAATTAGTAGTTTCTGTATACTCTTCACTGAACTTCCCCTTATGTTAAATAATGTCTTACATAACCATAGAACAATTGTCAAATTAAGAAATTAGTCTTGATACAATACTGTTAACTAAAGTAGAGATTTTAAAAAAGTAGAGATTTTCTTGTTTTTTTCACCGATGTCCTTCTGTTGTTCCAAGATCCCATGCAGAATCCTACCTTGCATTTAGTTGTCATGTCTCTGTAGTGTCCTCCCAATCTGTGACAGTGTATGGTAACACCTGATGTCACAATGTGTTTCTGGTGTTGTTAACCTTAATCTCTAAGGTGGCATTTGCTAGGATTCTTTACTGTAAAATTACATTTTTCTTTGTAATGACTAAATATTTGCTGGAGATACTTTGAGATTATGCAAATATCCTGTTTCTGCTTAAACTATTGCCCACTCATTTTCACATCCATTGCCAGATCTTGCTTGTGTCAGTTACTACTACTGTGGTGGTCTAATGGTGATTCTCTGTTTTTCTCAATCTTCTACATTTATTAATTGGAATTCTTCTGTAAGGAAAGGTTACTGCATTTGGATAAGTCAGGATTAAGTACAAACTTAGAATTTAAAGATGTAAACCATTTAAAATGATAACAAAAACCAACATCAAAGAAAGGAAAGCTAAATTGGTAATCTGTTTCAGAAAATATAATGAACTTAAGAAGGAAAATGGTATTTATGATCTGTGGGTTTGGTTCAATATTTGACCTAGTATTGACTTCAGACTGAATTTAAAATATTCTCGGAGTTTCACATATGGACTTTCTAAAAGTATCTTAATTTATATTACTTTGGGGATAGTTTTTGTCAAAATCTTGAATAAAGTTACCGAGACCTGGCATGTTAAACACAGCTATGTCTTCTTTATAATATGCCACTATTGTTTCATATATAAATGCCATATATATTTAGTATTTAGACAAATATGCCCTAATGAAGTTTCTGGATGATGGGTTATGCTAGTGTCTACATTGTTGGAGATCTTCTAAATGCCTGCCTTTTTTTTTTTTTTTAAGATTTATTTCCCTATTCATGAGAGACACACACACACACACACAGAGGAGGCAGAGACATAGGCAGAGGAAGAACCAGGCTTCTCACAGGAAGCCTGATGGTGGGACTCGATCCCCAGACCTTGGGATCACGCCCTGAGCCAAAGGCAGATGCTCAACTGCTGAGCCACCCAGGTGTCCCTAAATGCTTTCAAAATAGGATTTTGAAAACAGTTCTTTAGTGTTTTGTTTTTTAAGATTTTACCTATTTGTTAGGGAGAGAGAGAGAGAGAGCACAAGCAGGGGGAGGAACAGGGAGAAGGAGAATCGGAATCTCTGTTGAGCAGGAAACCTGACTCAGGGCTCCATCCCAGGACTCTGGGGTCATGACTTGAGCTGAAGGCAGGTACTTAACTGACTGAGCCACCCAGGCGCCCCAGTTCTTTACTGGTTAATGTAATACTATTAAAGGTAAGCAGATTTAAAATAAAGTTGAAGACTATAGATTACATTGGCATTTACAAAAAAGATTTTTGGGAAATGGATAATTGATGACTGGAATTATAATTCTATGTAAGTTATAAAGAGTCAGTTCTGTGACAAGGACCATGCTCCTGCTTCCAGTCCCTTGTTCTCTTCTACAAAAGCAAGTACTTTCAACTGAGTCTTTAACAAATTATCTCCATATTTTTGTTGTTCTATTGTTTTTTTAGTTACTATTATCTTTTACTTCTAATCTTTATTATTTCCTTCCTTCTGCTACTTTTGAGTTTTGTTATTGTTTTTCTGACTTCTTTGGGTAATATCTCCATATTTTAATTTTTTATTTATTTTTTAAAGGTTTTATTTTTTTAAGTAATCTCTACACCCAGTGTGGGGCTTGAATTTATAATAACCTAAGATCAAGAGTTGCACAGTCCACGGACTAAGCTAGCCAGGCACTTCTCTATATTTTTTAGTGAACATAATTGTGCTTCTTTTGATTTACCAGAAGCCTCTATTCTATAGAGGCTGAAGGTTTAGGTTTATCTCTCTGCTCTTACCATATACACATCTCAGTCCTCATCCTCCGAAACTCAAAAGCTACTCCCCCAATCTAGTTATATGATGATTTTGTTGTACATTATTATGACCATGTAAATGCTAACCAGAGCTGTCATGTTGTAAACTGTAATTACTCTACCTTTCCTGAACAACTCCCTTTTTTTCCCTGCAGTTAATCATTTGCCCACATATTTATAGCTAATTTTGATGTCAAACCCTCCATCATTTGTGTAAATTTTCTTTTAAGATGTTCAGACTGGGCAGCCCTGGTGGCCCAGTGGTTTACCACTGCCTGCAGCCCGGGGTGCAATCCTGGAGACCCAGGATCGAGTCCCGTGTCGGGCTCCCTGCATGGAGCCTGCTTCTACCTCTGCCTGTGTCTCTGCCTCTCTCTCTCTCTGGGTCTTTCATGAATAAATAAATAAAATCTTAAAAAAAATGTTCAGATATGTATTTTATCAATTTCAAACTCCTGAAGTAGTCTACCCTGGAGCCTTCTGACTAGAGAACTGGTAGGTTCTGAGTGCATATTATCATTCTGGGATCTTCTACTTACCCTGGGGATTCTCTTTGCTTCTCCTGCTGGTTTTCTGTTTTCTGTAGTTTGTCTTTTTCTTAATTTATTCTGTCAGAGCATATTCTCTGGTAGCTTCCTGAAAAGGGTGCCTGAGAAATAGTTTTTTTACATCTTGCATATTTGAAAATGTATTTTTATGATCCTTTGTATAAAACCCTTCTCTCTGGAAGCTTGTATGATATTTTTGTCTCGTGTTCTGAAACTTTCTAACAGTATAGCTTTGGTGTGGGTTTTGTGCATTTTACTGGGCACATTTTATTCTGGAAACTCATACCCTAAGTCCTAAGACATTGTCTTGATTTTGTGTGTTTATTTTCCCCCTCCATCACCCTCATCTCTGTTAACTGTTTCTAGAATTTCTGTTATAGACCTCTTAGACTGGTTTGTTTTTTTTTAAGAGAGAGAGGGACAGAGTTGGGGAGGGGGGGACAGGAGAATCTTAAGCAGACTCCATGCCCAACACAGAACCTGATGCGGGCCTTGATCTCAATCCTGAGATCATGACCTTAGCGAAAATCAAGAGTTAGATGCTTAACCCAATGAGCCACCCAGGCACCCCTAGACTGGTTCTTTGATTCACTTTTTTTTTTTTTTTTTTACTTTTTGCCTTTCTCCTGTACTTTGTGGTAGCTTTACTTGCCTTTATCTTCTAAATCACTGAATTTTACATTTCTGTATATTTTTAAATTTTAAGAATTTTTTTGTTCTCTATATTCCTTTATGGAATTCTGATTTTGTTTGCAGTTGTAGTATGTTCTGAGGATGATCAGTGATAATTTCTCAAGGTTTCCTTTTTACTAAATAATGGATTTCCTCCAAAATTGCTTTTTCCTTTCTTTTTTGATCTCTATCTTAATCATATTAGAGATATTTTCTCAGATGTCTGTTAGTTCTTGACTGTGTTATACTGGAGACCTAAAATTATTTCTAGAAAATGCTTCCTATTTTGCTTTTATTTTTTTCAAAATCTCTGTTGGGAGGAATAGCTCTTTTACATCTGAAATTAGGAAGGGAGGATTGTCTGAATAATTTTCTTTTTTTTTTCTTAAGATTATTTATTCATGAGAAACACACAGAGAGACAGAGACAGAGGGCGAAGCAGGCTCCCTACTGGGAGCCTGATTCAGGACTTGATCTCAGGACCCTGGGATCATGACCTGAGCAAAGGCAGACACTCGACCGCTGAGCCACTCAGGCATCTCTGAATAATTTACATTGCTGTGTGTAAATGGGAGATTTGATATTCAATGTGGCTTTCTCATCAGGAGTAGTGGGCACATTTGTTGTAATTAAATGTGAGGGAGAGGAGGTACCAGCTCAGAGAGTGAGGATTTAGGGGTTTCTGAGATCAGCACATATTTTCTGCCAGCCAACTCTTAAATGTCTTTATATTTTGCGATATATACTTTGTCTTCATAGGCTAATGTTAAGAATAGTATTGTCTAATAAATTATAGGACTCCTAGTTACATTTGGATTTCAGATAAATAACAATCACTTTTAAAAACAAATACATTCCAAATAGTATATGGGACAGCTAATAACTAAAAATGCCTGTTTTCCTGAAATTTAGATTTACTGGGGGTACTGTATTTTTTAAAGTTCTTATTTTGGGATACTTGTAGATTCACCTGCTGTTTAATTTTTTTTTTAAGATTTTATTTATTTATTCATGAGAGAGAGAGGCAGAGACACAGGCAGAGGGAGAAGCAGGCTCCATGCAGGGAGCCTGATGTGGAACTCCATCCCGGGACTCCAGGATCACGCCCTGGGCCAAAGGTAGGCGCTAAACCGCTGAGCCACCCAGGGATTCCCTCAAATGCTGTTTTAAATAATGCACAGCTTTCATGTACCTTTTACCCAGTTTCCTGCAATGGTAATGTTTTGCAAAACTTACTGCAGTGTCACAACTAGCATATTGATACTGATATAGTCAATATACGGAACGATTCCACCACCACATTTATTCTTTCTATTGACACCTACTTACCCTTTCCCACCATACTAAACCCATGGCAATCGTTTCCCATTTCAAGAATGTTATATAAGTAGAATTATACAGTTTTGTAACCATTAGAGATTGGCTTTCTTTCACTCAGTGTAATTCCTTTGAGATTCATGTGAATTATTTCCTGTATCAGTAGTTCTTTTTTATTGCTAAGTCTATGATGTGGATACCACAGTTCAACCACTTACCTACTGAAGACATACAAGTTTCCAATTTGGGGCTATTATGAATAAAGCTGTTATGTAGATTCATGTACAGGTTTTTGTGTGGACATGGTTATAATTTCTTTGGAAAAATGCCCAGGAATGCATCTCTGGGTCATAGTGTAGTTGCATGCTTAATTTTGTAGGAAATTACCAAACTTTTCTAGAGTGGTTGCACCATTTTACATTCCTTCCAGCATGGATGATTTTCTTCACATCCTTGCCAGTATTTGATGATGTCACTATTTTTTATTTTAAGTGTTATGATAGATATGTATCGATACCTCATTGTGGTTTAATTTGCATTTCCTTAGTAGTTAATGATGTTGAACATTTCTGCATGTGCTTATTTGCCACCTGTATATCCTCCCGTGAAATATCTGTGTGTGTTTTTTGCTCATTTTAGGGGGACTTATTTTAATAAGCTTATTTTAGAATAGTTTAGATTTATAGAAAACTTACAGTGCTACAGAGTTCCTTTATACTCCACACTCTATTAACACTTTATTTTTTATTTTTTTAAAGGTTCCCTGGCCCTTTAAATTTTTATTTATTTATGATAGTCACACACACACACAGAGAGAGAGAGAGAGAGAGAGAGAGAGAGGCAGAGACACAGGCAGAGGGAGAAGCAGGCTCCATGCACCGGGAGCCCAACGTGGGATTCGATCCCGGGTCTCCAGGATCGCACCCTGGGCCAAAGGCAGGCGCTAAACCACTGCGCCACCCAGGGATCCCTCTATTAACACTTTAAATTACTGTTGTACATTTGACACAATGGACCAATAATGATTGATTCTCATTAAAATGCATACTTTCTTCAGATTTCCTTAGTTTTTACCTAACATCCTTTTCCTCTTCCAGGATCCCATTCAGAATACCACATCACATTTAGCCATCATATCTTCTTAGGAGCCTCCTGGCTGTGACAGTTTCTCAGACTTCCCTTGTTTCCGATGACCATGACCTTCTTGAGGAGTACTGGCCAGATATTTTGTAGACTGCCTGGGATTTGTCTGATGTTT